AGTGTGTTTAGTGTGTGTGTTGAGCTGCAGTTCAGTGTGTTTAGTGTGTGTGTTGAGCTGCAGTTCAGTGTGTTTAGTGTGTGTGTTGAGCTGCAGTTCAGTGTGTGTTAAGTGTGTGTTTAGTGTGTGTGTTGCTCCTTCTCTTCATCTTGTGTTCTCCTGCAGAGTCACCACTGAGATGAATCACATCTTCTGCATTGATCCCACATGGAGCTGGGCTCAAACTCTGCAGGAACATTTCATCAGGACCAAAGCCGCCTCCACTAAACCTGACAAACTCTAGTTTCTGTCTGTACAAATGTTACATTTAAATTATTTTTTAATAAATTATGTTGACTTTTTATCATGTTTTCTGTTTTTGTTGTTAAAGCTGCTGCCGTTAAACACGTGGTGCTGMTCTCCTCTTGTTGACAGAACAGATGGTTCTGAATAAAATCTAGTTTTGGACCTGCTGCTCTGATGATCAGTCAAAATGTTTTTAATATTTCAACAAGTTTTAGAAACACAAACGTGTTTACTTTCAGTGGTATAACTGATGGTGGATTATACTGAACATTTCAACATTACAGTCATGATTTAATGTATTTAATTCCAGTTCTGCTTCTAATGGGCGTCCACTCAAACAATAAACATGTCCAAGTCTGCTTAGTGAGTCAATCACCTTTACAGAATTAAACTAATTTATGGAGAAAAATCCAAAACCCTCTAAAGATCACAGCATCACACCACAAAACAAACCAGAGCACAGAATGAACCCCCCCACCGCCCCCCCAGCACTCAGAGATCAGAAAAACTGACACAATGTGAAAGTACACTAGAGAATTGCATTTCCTGCAAATATGCTAATGTGAATGCTTCTTACTGAAATCTTCAGCTGAAAATATTATAACAAAAGTTACATTTGCGTAGGGGTCACCTCGAGTGAAGAAACAAGATTTTCTGCCTCTAAGCAGGCCTTGGACAGGCCTGACGAGAGGACAGGAACTCTGTTACACTTTGAGCTTTATTTAGGCCAAAGACAGGTCATTCTAACCGTGGAAGAGAACCACTCTTCCTCTTAATCAGATAATGGACAGAACAATCTCCTTTGTTCGTGATTCATTTGTTGTTTAACCAAGAATGTTTATGAATTTGTTAAATCATGATAATGACTGTCACATGAAAAGTATAAAAACTTATTTTCTCTTATCGTACCTTAAAGATTAATAATGGTATAAAAAAATCACAGAGAATCTGATTACAATGTTTTCATTGTGTTTTTATGCAAATCACTGTTTTTATTTTACTGTGAACACAGTAATATAATTGTGGATTTTTCTTGAAAAAACTTTCATTTGTCTGAACTAACAGGGTGGTTTAGAGTTGATTGTGAACAGAAATGTTGCAGCTAATCACCATAAATGTTTTTCAGTGATTTCATTTAAAGTCTATTAGAAGGAAGTTAAAAAGAGGTTATCATGTTGTTTGTTTGCTCAACCATACAGTTAACCTTGACTGGCGCCTGGCGAAATGACTCATCTTTAAGCCTTAGGGTGGGAACCAAAGATTGTCCGCTCTTATTACTAACCTGGACAGCTTTGAGAGACACACTCTAATTCAAACAAGGAAGACGCTGTTGCTCCTCTTCGGAGGAACTCAGCTTTTGAGCTGAAAATCCAACTCAAGCRCCAAAGAGTGGATTTTTACAGCCAGGGATTCGACAAGCCTGTCGGAATCCCCACACGAGGTTTCCAAACAATGGGGTGCCGTTTGTAAAGTTACACAGTCAAAAATTACCACCAATGTTTTTGTTTTATTTAGACTTTTATAAGAAAAACAGAACAGATTTACTTTTCAAAATCAGTTTTTCACCATATGATTCATACATTTATAAATGTC